ATTATTATCATATAGCCTATCCAAACTGTCAATCAACACAATTCCTGTTTGAAATACAACAGCTTTAATATATATACATACATAAAAATACATTCGAATATATTATACGCTTTAAAACAAATATGGATAATTTCATTTAATGCAAATTGTAGTTTAAATGAAGCTAAACAAAAAAGTTTATTGGACAGAAAAATGCTACAAAGGTTTACAGAAAGAGTCGCATGCCCCTATACCCTATAACATAATGGTATCAGCCATAACACGACATGTGCTGTTATTCCGCCATAACACCACGTGTGCTGTTATCGGGAAATAACAGCACGGGTATCCGGGCCTCTGATTGGTCCACGCCGTCCGGCTATATGATAATAATAAATATCATGCAAATGACTCCCACAATTTTACATAATCTATGCATGGTGATGTTCACCCGGAGTAACTACGTAACTGACATTTTCATATGGCCAGCAGAGGTTGTCAAATCAGAAGTCCCAATGTCATGTAGCTATAGGTTAATCAGGCTCTGGTATAAATATGTGAGGTGAATATTAAGACAAAATTCCGTCAACACTGTTAAGGCTATGCCTACCATGGCATACTAATAACCTGAATATGTGCAAAAACACATACAACTCAGGAGTAATAAGGAAAGTTTGGGTTTTGAAATATAGTAAACATATTATATACTACATGTATTTCCTGGTGTCTTTCCTGCATTTGTAAGCTTGTATACCTTTCAATTGAGTGTTACTCACACTCACAGTACATTACATGTAATGTCGATGAAGGTTAGACATCCAGGTAATACGATATGCCAAAAAACAGTTACTCAAGCAACTGGATATGATTTTGAAAACGTCAGACGTTTCAGCTAGTAAGACGTTTCAGCTAGCCAGCAAGTTGTGGTGGTTTAGCTTTGCATATAAAGCACTGATCCAGGTGTGAGTTCAACATATCTAATTGATTTATGTAGTCATTACATAACATAAAAAACATTTTAAGTTATGAAGCATTTGACCTAAGAACAAATTGTACCTGAGTCTGCCAGTCTTGCCAGCAAGGTCGTGCTTCTCAGAATCTCACTGATTGTTACCATGGAAACCATATAATGTATTGGGCAAAGGGCATTTTCTTTTATAAATCTCCACCCTGACATAATCTGGAACCATGCATTCTGCAGTACGCTACGCTTTGCTGTCAAAGAAAGCAGTGTCTCCGAATGACATGTTCTTGTTAAAAGACAACATGACAAAATGTAACAACAGATTTGGTCAAGAGTGGAGTAGCATTAATTTTGGACAATGTGTGCTATTCATTTATAAAAGATCATTTAAAGGTGATATAAAGAACCAATATTAAGAAACCTACAACATAATGCACATCAGTTGTAAGGTTGATATCATTTGGTGAATGTACAAAAAAACCTGTGGGACTCTTGTTCAATATGTAATATAAACAGCATAGTATTACAGACATCAACCGTATACACCAGACTAGCGGTGTGCCCAAGGGCATGTAAACACTAATGGATTTTCTGAATGAAGTCTCTAAAGTCTCTGCAGTGTAAACAACATGGTGCATAAATATTCCAAAAAGACATTTCAAAAAGCAACATTTTTTTCTCTCGTTGATTGTCTGGTCAGAGGAAAGGTTTCGCATTCCTCGCCAGTAACCACATAGTATGACCAGCAGCAGGGGGTCAGTTTCCTTAGAACATATTGATTGCACAATGTACATTCTGATGTTGTTATTTCTGCTTGCACTTGCTGACAATGATTATTCCCTGCATAAGTGCATGAAAGACGTTTAACATCCACATCCCAGAGAAACATTGTAATTAACCTTGCATGACTTAAAAAAATGAGAATCACAATAAATATTCATAAAAATTGATATTAGGTGAGAAAAGTTTAAATTTCATAAAATCTGCATGTGGCATGGAACACAAAAAACCCTCAAAGAACCATGCATGTATGTGTTAGTGTGTGTGTGTGTGTCCGTGTGTGTGTATGTGACTGTGTTCTTGCTGAATAATTTAGTTCTTGCTAAATAATTTCAAGCGTACCTGTGACTATGAGATATGCTAGTTTCACTGCCCTATCTTCCCCACAATGGATTAATTTCAAAAAACTATTGCTTTTGCTGGCAAGTTAATCAGCTTGAAGACTTTTCTTTTGGTTACGTCAGGTGCAGGTAAATTATATATATATATATATATATACATACATACATACATACACACACACACACACACACACACACACACACACACACACACACACACACACATATATACATTTTTACAAAAGTGGCTGCCCAAATTCCCTGCTCATGTAGGCTGTAAATCAACATAATTACAGAATAAAAACTTGCATTGTGAAATGTGTGTGTAATGGGTTGAAACTGACAACTGCTACTTTTCTGGTATTAATGTGGTATTTTGGCATTTGGTTCTCATAGAGAGTCACATTGAGCGGACTGATCTGATACGGTATGTGAAGTACATGTAGGCATAATGTCTCCCTCATACTGTTTTTCTATACTTCTGGTACAGGCGACATTTCCATTTACTGTACCTGGGTTTTTTCTTCTAAGTTCATAAAACAAACTTTGTTTTAAAGAAATCTGATGTTCCTGATGGCATTGTTTTAAATCTTAACTGTACATATATTATAATGTAACATATAATTTGTTATAAATGTCATCAGCTGCACGAGAATATAAGTAATGTACTTTTATCATGGGCTATCATAATTTGTTACATGCACGAGCTATCAGAAACACAGTAGGCATAACTTACATTTTACATGCATATGATTCTATATTTCCAACAACACTTTTTTTTTCAGTTTTAACAAGTCAGTATGCTCAGAATATATGAGAAGGCATATAACAAAAATGTCATGCTTCCCTCACAGCAGTACACAGGTCTCAAAGGCAGACAGGTTGCCATGAATTTCTTAATGGCATATATGTATGAGCAATATGTTACTACCCATCAGCATAAAGGAGCAATATTTCTCTCTTGCAACAGGCCATTATCAATAAAATTTTACCTGCCCCCTTTATGAAGTATGGATCATACAAAAAAATGAGACCAATTCTTTCAAACTTCATAGGTGGTAACAGTCAACACAGCAAATAAAAAATCACATATGCCTGCATTATATATAATCCAATACATGGAGCAGTGCAGGTAGACAATTCAGAAATACCCGCTCAGTTCCAATTTTACCTGCACTAACATGCAGGTGGCATTTCCTGCCCTGGGTAACTTACCGGATCTTCCTTTCCAAAGTGCTGAAAGGTTTGCTGTTATTGTTTATAATATTTATTATCTGTTATCTCAGTTGGATCCTTCATTTATTGTCAACATCATAAAGATTGCAATAAGCCACATGGCAGTTCTTGCTAACAGTCTACTTGGCTTCCAATTGAACAATTGTCTTCAACATGCAATCTTACTTACAATAGAATTTCCATTCATACTGTTGACATTCGATCATTTTACATCACTTCACATTTTCTGCCACACCTAGGCACTTCACAGCTTTTTTTTCACTGTGGGGCTAGCTCCCGCCTAATTATGGACTTATTTATATTCATCAATCAAAGAACCATCACTAAGTCTTACAGTGGCAGATAAGAGGTGCTTGCCGGACAGCAGAGCTGTGACCCTTTAGGAAATGCAGTGATAAGATCGACAAATTTGAGTTCCAGGCTGCCTGCAAGATGCTTCTGTATTCATGGAAGAAACCGTACCAGAAAGGTCATTTCACCTATTTGAAATGCAAAGGAACCCAAGATATCTAGGGACTTTGTGCATGCAGCTGCGATTCTTGGCTGAAGTTCTGAAGCCACATAACTCCACGGTTAGGCTTCTAATGTTGTACATTAGTCATTTGAAAAAAGTTTCCTTCCACCATATGTTTGTAGTATTACACTTTTTACAGGACAGACATCTTATAAAGAAGTAAAGCTCCATGAGAGATAGTGATAGACCTCAGGTAAGAGTGCTGCAAATATTATATGGCACTTAGTCGACATTCCCTGCTGTTTCCCTTTAGCATACGCACCATAAAAAAACTCCCCGAACATGAAATACTATAATGATACTCATCTTCTAATCAAGACTTCTTGCCTTAGATGGAACTCCTTGGGTATTCTTTTGGCACCCAAGCAATTTCAGGGCAGTAAAATTGGATTTTCAATTTTCTGATCACTTTTTTATGTGGTAAGTTGAATCAACCCTTTGCTTACAATAGTAACATACTCATTCTGATATCTTCAAGGCAAAATATGATATAGCTGACAGAAAAAGGTTGTTTGTTTTGTGTGGTGAGCTAGTTCTAGCTATTTATTGGTGGTCCTTTGTTAAGCTACGGTCACAACCCGCCGTACATGCTTTTTCTCTGTACGTTTTTTGGGAGGCTATTGAAACTGCATTGGATGCCTCTAAAATATGAAAATAATGTAGATCATATTAAGAAGCTGTGTTGTTATTTTCAGCATATGTCAAGAAAATCTATTTACAGGATTCACTACTTCCAACTCCTGTTTAGATTTCTGTATTCAATTTTAAATGATTGGGATTCAGTGCTGTAACCTTAGTGGCAAAATGTCAGATCATCCCATCAGTTTCATAAAAGGTTATCAATTATGATTATTATATCACCACTAATCTGCCATTAGCTGTAGATCTGGTGATAAAAAAGATAGCAGTCACAATCATCAGATACAATCATGTACGTGCAGCTTATTTTAATTTACTGAATGCACATGCCCAGCAGAAAGTGAAGCTGATATAAAACAACCCTTTTCCTGGTTAACCTAAAGTATCTTCAATCTTTTAGCATAGTTAAACCACCACTAAATAAATGCAGCATACAGAACAGTACAACATCACTCAAAATACTGGAACAGTGTACCGTTGATCATGAGCCAGTGTGTTTATATCGTAATTTATTCTTTAGAGGATACTGACCAGTAGATGTACCTACCTTCGTGGATGTTGCTTCAGTTGTATCCAGGCTGACCTTCAAAAATGACCTTCACCTACGGCCTGCCCTCTGAATCTGATGCTACAGCTAACCTGAATATCAATTTAACAAAAGAAATCACAGGTCAATACTCAAACACCAGATGCTGCACACAGCCACAACATCATGGAAGCAGCTACCATCATCTCTCGAGATGGAAGGATGCCTGCTACTACATATATCAATCTCTACAACTATTCCTGCTCAAACATCTACCAATTAAGAATGGTGAGATTTATTTCACAGCATTTGGTCCTACAAAGTACAATGTAAATAGCAAGCATTTAGAACGTTGCTAGGAGAATGCCAACTCATAGAGCACTGGTAAGATTAACATTGCCAGCCTTACTGTAAGTGTAATGTATGAACATTAGATACTGTAATTCGAGTTCACGGTGGCAAAATTTCACGGTGAGGAAAAAATCGAGGTGTTCACGTACTGATATGTTCACGGTGGCGGCAGGGGAAACTCAAAAGAAAGTGGGTGGAGGCGTGAAGCGCTGCAGTCCCCAGGAATCCCCCATATTTCATCGGACCGCACATAATAAAGTCCAAATATTTTTCACGCAAGATCGCCGGCTATGTAATTTTTTAGCAAAACGCTACGGTGGTTTGGGGTCAATATTTCGTTATTTGCAGTTAAAAATTCACACCAAACCGATGGCTCGCGCCGAGAATCTCACGGATTTGTATCGTATTAGACGCGAAGGACCAGACATCGAACTGTTTGATTTTCACTCGGCTATTCAAAGACGAACTTGTAAAATACATGTTCAAAAACAAGAAAAGTTTGTTTCCCGGTATTTATCTCTTGAAACACGGTGCTGATCATGAATAATTTGACGTCGCAAAATTATTTCGTGTGCCGCGCACCCTCCCCCATGCAAATCCCGCGTCACGTGCCCGTATTTCGCGTCTCTGATTGGTTGTTGCGTCAAGCAGCAGGGACGCCGGCGGTAGAATTTGAGCCAGCCGAGGCGCTTGTAAACAACTTTTCTTTGTCTAAATATAAGCGCTAAAATGCTCTTTTTCACAACCACACATCGATATTCTAGTAAAGAAATGCATAGTTCCAAGAATATTTCGGGGAAATATATATTTCTATGCGGATTTTTGGCGTTTTCAACGTGATTTTGGTGAGCACTTTTCCCGGAAGTACGGGCCTCGGCGTGGGTTGTCTTGTACCCACGCTAAATTTTTAGCGTATTTACCCTGCGTTTTACCAATCAAAACAATAAAGAACTCCCGCTAAGGAGAACCGAGTAACATTCTAGATCCCAGCAATTCTGGTTTTGATCAAATAATTTGTGGATGTGCCCGCATTTTATCGGGATGGGATAAGCGACCTCACGCACCGGGCCGGGCCGTGTAACGTTACGCTAAGATTTTTGTACGCAGTTGACTCGGCTTGACACGCTATTCGGTGTCTCATAATACATGATTGTATGATTTCTAATATTAGTTATAGCATTATAATAATTTTGATACTCAACAGTAGCTCATTTGTTATCAAATATACGGAACATCGTTACATGAAAAGTGTAAGACGGGAATAATTTATTGCTGTTCGGGGCGAAGGAGTGTTAGCGGTTTGATGAGTTCACGGTACAGAAGTGACCGTGAAAACCGTGAACATATCAGTATCGTTAAAAAATCAGTAATTACAGTACTCCAGGGAAACCCAGCAACAAGCAGGTCAGTGACCCAGACTAACATTTGTATGATCAGCTCGTAGATGCATATAAATTGATAGCCATTAGTGGTTCTGGTTTTAAACTGATTCCAAATGACCAAGAATATAAATCACCTGGCTGACATCTTGCTTAATGTACACAGTATCACAATTACATTTACACACATATATATATATAGCACTTAGTCATTGTGGAAAGGTCAACCAAATGGATATAGTTGATCCATGATGGAAACTATCCTGGGTCAGTGCACCCAGAAGCAAGACTGATTGATGTACAAAATATAGAATAACAAGAGTTCCACAACATTATACCCTAGCCAACTGATGTTAACCTAAATAAGGATTATGCTTTTTTAAGCCAACCCTGAAACTAAATATACAGGTTTCTCATTGATTCTGCAAATAATGCAATAATCTACATAAATAACAAGTAAAATCTGAGATTTTATACCTCCGGGCTTTTTATTGTATATTTTTATATGTTGTTTGTTATGTATAGTTGATGGTGTTGAATTTTATGTGTTAGATTTAGCGTTCCTGGTTGTGTTAACACAAGTCAACATTTTCATCTGCAGCCCATAACATGTACCCACAGTAAAAATGCATGTCGAGAACGTCTGAGACAGTATACCGCGGTATTTGTAAGTTAAGAAGTCGTAATATACGCTGAAAACATCCAAAACAAAGATTGCGCAAGAAGACGTTGACCCCTGACCCATTGGCCCACCCGGAAGTTGCCGATCACCTGTCCTGTGAACGCGTACTAAGAATACCCTCCAAACAACAACTGTTGCGCCTCGCATACAGAAGATGCATTTTGCACAACAACAATTGTTGCGCGCCGCAGGGCCCCGCAGGACTAGGGTTTTAAACAAAGAATTTATCGAGACCACACACCCCTCTGTACAATAGGTCAGCTTCGTGGACAAGACCGACCCATACCTGACACGCCAAAGGTCAACGGTCGCGACCACTTTTACGCTCAAAGGGGTGTTCTGGGGCCACCAAAAGGCATCATTTTCAGGCTCGAAAACACATATACAATAAAAACAAAAGAACGTGAATCATCTACAGCCCAATAGCAAAACATATACCGAGTCCCAAAAGAATCCATCCACTCAAATGCGAGAAACAGCTGCAAACATGAAAATCTCTCACAAAGCCCATCCGCGGAAGGATGTCTCCTCCCCCGGAGGCAATAACAGTTGATGATCTTTCTACCCAAATACCACAGTAGAAATTGATAAAATAACTTTCAAAGTCTTATCTTAACAAATATTGTTATGCATTCTATTATGCAAATAAAGCCTAATTTGCATATTTTATGTCAACTGACATTCACCTTTACTTAACTGTAGAGCTATGGGATCTCATACCTTTGCCAAATGATGTTACCCTAGGTAAGTATGTACTCTAGTACGGTAACCTTCATATGGATGATGTACAATGTACATGTAACAAAAAGGTTTTTCAATGATGATGAAAATACATACGTACATGTAAGGTCCTCAATTTCAAATAAATATCAGTTGATGACCTTTTCTACTCAAATATCATAACCTAGAATAAAACTTACAAAACAAGAATTCCGAGATCTCATACCTCCATGAAATATGGGCTTGATATGTAAATGTAAATTTCCTCTTTAATTATGCAAATTACCTCCGCATTTACATGATATATGCATCGTGATGTATGTTAACTTTTGATTAACTTACAGATGTCCAAAGTATGACATTCCCATTATTCACCATTAAGAAATCATAGAATTTTTGCATAAATTATGCAAATTAGGTCATAATTTGCATAATTAGTATCTGTTGATGTTCTGCCTGCCATAGGTTACATACATTACATGTATGAAAGTAGTATAATGTAAAACACTGTAATCATAGAATTTCCTCATTAATTATGCAAATAAAGTCCTCATTTGCATAATTTGCATTTAATCATGTACATCTCTCTCTTAGCTACCTACACACCAAAAATTATGAAAATATGTTGTTCCTATCTGGACTTATTGGCTTTTAAACATTTCGCCAGAAAGTGCCCTGCAGTTCCAAAACAAGCTGCTAGGGGGACCAAACTCACACCACTTATTCCTGACAGGAAAAGCAATCTGTCACCAAAACATCAAGACCATAGCATGTTCAGGACAAAAGATACAAAAACCGGAAGTTCTGCTGCAGTACCAAGGTCATCCACCAGGAGGCCCATATTTGACCTTGACGTTTGTCTTCCTAAGACTAACCAACATATCAAATATCATCATAATCCATAAAGGCGTTCTGAAGTTATCCTGACCACAAAGTTGCGGAAACACAGACAGACAGACAGACAGACAGACACACACACATACATACATACAGACAGACAGACACGCCAAAAACAATACCTCCATTTTTCATGGAGGTAACAAAGCTCTTTAATACATTAAATGTTTCATGCATGTATGAGACCCCTGAACTCTACATATATCTATATAATTTGGACTGCATCAGTGTGTGGCTGAACATGCATATTGTATGAAAAATGTATTCCATGCACAGTTTCTAGCCACATTCCTCTTTTACATATGTATGACTATAAAAGCTAATTCTTGACCAAAATCACTTAAGCTGTCTTAATTAAAATGTCACACTCCGGAAATTGAAAATCTCAGCTGGCTAGAAATGCATGCCCACCTCATGTGCAGGCCAAGTAATACTGCATAAATTAGATGTAATCACAAGTTGGTTAATTATACAGTCCAGGTGTTTGCTAAAGCTATCAGTCAAAATTATACAGGAAATCTAACTTAATAAAAGCACGTCAGACAATTTTCTTAAAGAGATTGACAGAAATATAAATACAGTATAATTTTTTTATGCAAATAACTTTAGGCCATTTATCTATTACTTTTTCCATTAAGTCAGTCCCAACAAATGTACACTGTGATACAGATAGACGCAAGAAAAAGAATTAACAACATGAAAGATAAATTTACTTTAACTTTATCTTAAGAATCATTAGATAATGTCTTGCACTATCTTTTATAGTTTCAATGTCAGTCATTTATATCACCTGAACCTACTCTCACCTTCCTCCTGCTGCATATGTAGTTTACTGGTATATCACTGGATAAATTGTTGTCTACAAGACAACACCAATAAAAATCTGGTTATATAAATGAAATGTAGGTAACCCTTATATATTAATTACTAGTAGCTGTGGGGCCCGGATATACAATGTATCTTGGATGCAGGTACCTGCTCTGTATGGGACCCAGATATACATGTACATGTACAAGTCATATACATGTATATTCAGGATTGAGGACCTTGTATACCCCAGATGAAAACATCACAGTGCTGCATA